TGGCTGCATCTGATTGGATGTAATCACTGATCAGCCAACAGTTTTTCTTCCCAACTCCTTTTTTGTGATCAAAGCTTGTGGAGTCGGGGGCTACCGGCAGGGCCAGCCACGGCTCAAAATTCAAGATGTGTAGTGCTATAGCATTATCACCAAATCAACAGAAGCACTGCAGAAATGGAGAAAAAAAAAAAAAGTGCTCTGGTCAATAAGAAGTATTTCATGGACACATATCCAACTTATGTATCCACTCATGTGCACACAGAGAGCATGGGAAAACACTATAGATTTCTTTAGTCTACTCAAAAACCACCTCCGAACTCTCTGTGTACATGTTAAAGAGTCCCTAACCATTTCCAGCAGCCGGCTCTATATATTGCTCTACAGCAGATCAGATCCTGAGAGGCATCCTGTAATGTTGCATATCTACTTCAACAGCTGCCCCAATTCCTGCTGACACAGAAGCAGCAGACCAGTTCAGATTCATCACCCGGACTGGGGAAATTCTACAACTATGCAAATGCCCACAAGAATTAGCCCGCTGCGAGCTTGAGAAGTGACTGGTGTGACCGTGTGGAAGACGTTTGTGTGCTGATGCCTTCTTTATGCCTCACAAACTCCAGCTTACGTCCAGACTTTGCTGCTATGTCTAGTGAAGGCCACTTCCCATTGGTTTAAAGTCAAGGCAGCATAATGCGGTGTGAAGTGGTTGCAGGTGGAATCCGCGTACAGTGCAGGATCAGCAGGCCTAGCCATGTACAATTGTAGCACAGTGTTCTGTTTGCTCAGCTGCGGGCCTCTTAGGCATACAAAATGCTCTTTTCAATTATTTTTTAGTTTTACCATTAAAGAGATCTTAGGAGAGCCGCATAAGTCATTTCACTTATTTAAGCATTGCTTGTAACAAGCTGGCAGTATGTTGGCATTGGCCATAGAGCAGTAGTTTTCAATGAGGGGGGCTTTTAGCACTGAAAACAAAAATAAAGAGTGCACCACATCCCTGACCCTTAAGTGCTTACATGTGGTGACTGCATTCGTTTTCAGGCTTTTTTCACAAATAAAAGAAATTATCATGGTTTACATTTACTAAACTTACCATATAGTATCGCCTTCCCTGGCCACTCCGTCCTTCCCAAATGGCCACTAATACCTTTGCAATACTTGCCTTGAGACAGGACTAGTCTCCCTCCAAGTACCAGCTGTCTGGGTCTCTGTGCCTAAGCTATACCCAGGTCAATGTGGCAGTCAGTCCATGCTTTTGCCCACCCCAAGCTGCAGCTGAGACCTGAAAGCAACAGAATGCCGGTCCTGCCACCAGGGTATGAGTAGTAGTAGCAGCCATTAAGGTACGGGGGAGCAAGGAAAGTGACACTATATTGTGGGCTTAGTTCTGCTTTAGACTAAGGCCTGGTTCCCACCTGGGCGTTTTACAGCGCGTAGGAACGTGCTGCAAAACACCCTACGCCCAAAGAAGTACAGGAGCTTCTTTGGGGCATTTTTCCGCCACCCTGCGACGCGGCCTGGTTCCCACCTGGGCGTTTTACAGCGCCCGTGTCCGGGTTTTGGAGGTTGCCAGGAGAACGGTACTTGTCTGACTGCATTGTGCCAAGTGTAAAGTTTGGTGGAGGGGGATTTGTTACATAAAACCTGGCTTTTTACAGGGGTGCAAGTTGTTTTTTTTTTTTACAGGCAGTAAAAAGCTTGCTGCTGGGTGAAAGTCTGACTATAGATAGAATGAATACATCTTTGGTTAATAGATATTTGCCATAGGCGATCTCCCAAACTTCCTACAGAAGCTCGTGGCGAAACACGTTGAAGGCTGGACTCACTGCACACTAAAGCATGACTTAAAGAGAAAATCCTACAAACAAAAATTAAATATGGATATTGTTAAAAGATAAGCAACTTAAAATAGATACGACTCTATACAATGTGCATGTGTGATCCAGGGGGCGCTATGCCTTGGGGTAAGAATCGGCTTTCTGGAATATGTTCTTACTTTGGTTTTATATGTTTCAAATAATCATGTAATTTTTTTAAAATAAATATTTTGTTTTCAACAATTATACAATTGATTAGAAATATTTTGTATGTGGTTATAACCCATATATCCGGATGCGACACCTTGCCGTCCGCCCACTGTGAAAAAATGGCCGGACGGCAAACTCACATTGGCGGGTAGCCGTAAATAGACGGCTTTTTTTTCTGCGCGCATGGGCAGAAAAAACCCGTACGTTGTACACAGCTGTAACTGGCTGTTTCACATACAAGCGATCGGCAGCTCTATAGCCTACCGATCGCTTGTATGTGCTGGCTGCACACATGTAATATGTATATGCGATAGCAATAACATTAACTGCAAAAAAAAAAAAAAATCCAACACATTTTTTTAAGTCACCCACCCCGTTACCGCACAAACGTAAATACGTGTGCGAAAACAACAGTTACGATGTACGTTACATATCGCCGCGAAAGTAGGAGTGAGAGCAATAATTTTAGGGTCATCAATCAATGATGACACTAAACTGATGAGCGGTAAAAGCGTTGCCTATGACCAATTTGGGGTATTGTAGTTTTGTTTGAGGTTTTGCACGTGCAATTTTAAGGCTTGACATATTTGGTGTATTTTTACCCGACATGACCCCGCCTTTTATATTTTACCAAAATAACAAATTAATAAATGTTTTATAATCTAATTCAGGGAAACAGTTTTTAAAAATAAACTATTTATGTCAATTTTCCTTACCATAGTAAAAAAATAAAACCCAAGTGGTGATTAAATACCATCAAAAGAAAGCTCTATGTGTCCCCAAAAAATTTTAAAATTCATATCAGTACAGCGTTGCATGACAGAATAAATGTCAAAGTACCGCAGCGCTGAATACTGAAAAATAGCCTGGACAGGAAGGGGGTTTACCACCGCGGACTTCAAGTGGTTAAAAGCCCCATGGTATTTCTTTTGTTGTTATGTCATTATTAAGGGGTGTGGTGTCTTAATTTTCTTTGGTGGTTCAACCAACTTTGTACACATATAGATAGAATGCTAAAGAGGTACATGTGCAGTTTGTTCTGGGGGTCTTCTGTAAGTCAAGAACAGAGCTGTGTTAAGTTAGTGGCTTGGATGAGCAGATGTTTGTTTACCGCCACCTTGAATACAAATGCAGGACAAACCTGCTTGGACTGTCCCTGGGTGTCCGTGGTCTTGTACATAATTTACCCGCCACCAATACCAGTTGAGCCTGTCCTCCTCACCCCCTTCTTTAGCAAAAAGTAAAGCTTACACTCCAAGAGATAAAGTTATCCGTCTTTATTGTTCATGTTAACTTAATTATTTCACAGAATTTGCAAAAACTTACAGTTTAGAAAAACAAACAACTGCTTTAAAAAAATAATACAGAAAAAAAAAAGAGACAAAAACTAATGTTTATCTTCAGATGGACTGGACGTATGGCTTTCCTCTTCATTGATGGACTGTACATGCTCCTGGAAGACATCAAACAGAAGTGTTAGAGAGAACTAGACAACAGATGGAGAGACTACAAAAGGCATAAATGACTTATGACAATATAACGTAGTAGCAGCTGTGCAAGGAACAATTATATTTTGCACGGTGCAGTAATTCCTAACCAATCAGATTTCAGTATCAATATACAGAAAGCAGGACCGTAACATTCTCATCAGTTTCTAGAGGTTACTGCACTGCTCGCTTCACATTATGAGCACAGATGTCATGGTGAGCCCTCTGTAGATATGCAGCGCTGATGTAAATGCAGATTTAAATTTCCCAATTATAGGAAACGGTTTTAAAACAAAATATCTGGGTGAGAAGTCATGAATGGGAGCTGCACTTCTTTGATTTACAGATCTCATAGCTCTGGTACACTGCAGTCATACCTAACTTACCCTTTGTGAGTTTCCACCCAATGCCTTTTGGTAAAATACTCAACATCTCCCACTCTCAGATCTCTACAACATAAAGGCCCAGCATTCTATAGTCCAATATAATAAGACTGACAGTTTTTTTTTGGAGGGGGGTTGCACTTATCCAATAGATATCACAAAATGCTTCCAATGGTATAATAAACAAAAATGAAGAAAATAAGGATTAGTAGGACAGCCAGGCAAGCTGCAATGGCAGCCTCCATATTTCTATCATGATAGGTTTCCTTTAACGTGCAGGTCAGAACAAAATGTATAAAAACAAGCAGTACATCTGCAGTACGTGCACATCTCCGGTGTTCTAATGACAAACATGGTGGACGTGCCAGAAGTGCAGCTCTATCAAGAGCGAAATGTATAGGCTGAATGCTGGGCAGCAGGGGGCCCTGTAGTATTTGCCTTCACTCCTCCCTTGGCTACTACGTAAGAGGTTACATAGGGAGGTAAAGCGAGGGGTGGAGTAGCTGAGCCACCACAGAGAGTTACTAGACACTCCCAAAAAGAGTGCTATGATGTGCAACGAGGGAGGGGGCTGTGCTAGGGAATTGGCTTTTCAGAAGTAGTCAAAATTTGCTAGCAAGTTCAGAGGCACATTGCAAGTCAAAATAAAACTATTTATGGAAAGGCAGCAAGTCAGCTTGTAAAATACTGATTTTTTCTGTGTTGTTACCACTTTGTTGGTGACAGGGTCTCCTTAAGCAGGGAGCTAGAATAAGGCCAATTAAAATACATAGCTTCTTTTAGTTGTTAATCTACACATCGCCACACTAACAAAAACATATAAGAGCAAGCGTTTACAAATGAAAAAGTCATATCAAGTATTTGTCTTCCAGGATCTAAAAACTGCTAAAATACTTTTTTTAAGTGTACAAAATAATGGAGTATTATCTAAATTCCTCTAAAACACAAACTGGATTCTAAATGTCACTGTTAATCTACATCTCCCGTTCCTACGCTTCTCTAAAAAAAACATAAGGTTTAGTGCCTCAATGTCTCTGAAGAGCTGAAAGAGCCAAGCGAGGTGTGAGTGTGTGTACACACAAACACACACAAATAATTTACTAGTTTTGTAGAAAAGAAGAAAAGCGAAAAAACAATTAGTGGTCAATAAAAATAAGGGATTAAAATCACCTTTCAAGCAGCACAACATGGAGATAGCTGCCCCAGTGGATTGTGGGTGAAGCGTTACCTTCAATATGACCTGCAGATGTGGGGCTGATCGTATCTGATGCTTTTAACACAATAATCCAGCGAAGGTTATCTACTCCCGGGAGTATAACTAAATTAATCCTGCAGCGCTGAGCTGCCAACACTTCACATGAACACATCCCATAGAGAAATCGCGCTCAAGATTTAATCCCCGTGTAATTAAGTAGACAACTTTTTTTTTTTTTATTCTCTTTTTAGAGAGAGCAACAGTCTATTATGAAGAGGAAGAACATTGGCATACAATCTTTAGAGGTGTGTATAATTGGAAAGCACTCACTTGGGGTTCGGGGAAAGGGACAGGCTTGTCTGCCTCTCTTAGAAGGACTGCCAATTGTTTCAAGTGGTCTTCAACTGGCTCTATCTGTTCGGCTTTCATTCTGTCGTACAAATCGACTGCATCGCTTAATTTGTTGGTGGAGACTGCGGGGAAAGGTAACAAAGTAAAAACAATAAATACATTCGCATTAAAAGTAGGTATCCACTAAAATCAGAAATGTTCTATCATCCACTTCAGCCCTCGTACCTGAGCCATTTTACCTTTCTGCTATGGGCCTGCCTATTCAATGATAACTTAGCCTTTACTTAACATAAAGCAATACATAGATTTTTTTTTTTGTGACAAGGGCTTTCTTTTGATGATACTCTCTTGTAAGAATTCATTCATTTTTTACACAATCTAAAAGACAAAAATATGTTTAAAAAAAAAAAAGAATCCAGAAACCCTAAAAAAAAAAGAATTCTGGCTAATCTTTATAGTCCTTGTTTTTGGGCAAGACATTTAAAACATTTTTTTTTTTAATATAGCAGACAGTTAAAGGGCTTTGTCCTTTGAGGACAGCTCCAAGTGAATAAAAAAAAAAAAAAGACTGCCAAACAGCATAAAGAACAAAACCTTTTACAAGTTAGAATTACGCCTAAGTCCCTTCCTTGCCTGCTCTATGGACTACTGAAAACACCCAATGCTAGCCACTCTTTGCTCTGTCCTTCCAGTTCCCCCTTTCATTTCATCACTTTATATTTGCGTCATGCCTATACAAATCCCTACATATAAGGCGAGACTGCAGGTGAATTCCCCACTGGTATACCCAACAGTATTCATGACTCTTGCGGGAATGCATAAGTGAACTAAGGACATCATGGAAATATGTGAATAGACAATAACACAGTGAGCACAGAGTACGTGGGTTTGTTCCAGACCTGTACACCAATCACTGCAAACGGCACTACTATGATTCAATACTATCACCTGTTTTCTGTATGCAAAAAATGAATGTTCTGCACCTATCAGAATCCCTACTTCCCCCACAAGGACATCTGCGGTGCCAGAGACCCCACTTACTGTATTGTTTCATCAGGCTGTTGTACCCAATGTGTTTGTAAAGAGGATCCCCCAATACATCTAGCAGCTGGGAAATCTGGTTTTTCTGTAAAACAATATGGGAAAAGGTTTAAGGTCAGCAGATAACAGCAAACGTTTAAAACACAAGTTATAGTGGACCTAGCATCAGATGTTTCATGCTATGGCACCATGCTTAGCAATAAGTTGTAACCTTTCCAAGTGTATATTACCTCACACAGAGATCACAGAACTCCCCCTAACAATGCATTCATGTGCTTTTCTCTCCAAAAGGATGGAGCCATCTTTATTCTGGTACCATCCAGGGTCAGAATCCACTTTCTAGTCTACGATGCCAGCACAGAGGTGACTCAATTACGTAAAATCCTGGTGCCTGTGCAGTTCTTTGCAATTTTCACAAATGTCTAAAACATTTGAGATCTGGAAAATGTCTACAATCATGAGCCAACTGCTCCAGCAGTGCCTATCCTGTACAATGCCATCTGTAGCCTTGCCATCTTGACTCCTGCAATGGGCAGGTGGCCTATGACATTTGGTAAGCAGTTTGGAGGTGGAGCCAAAGCATATTTGATGCATGCACTGGCAGTATAGATGCCTCAGAAGATATGTGAAAGCCCACATCTACCAACACTGCTAAAACATGGACTTCAAGCACTGCTGTTACTCTGAAACTCTTATTAACCCCTTCATGACTGAGGCCTTTTTTTCATTTTTTGCACCCATGTTATATTCCACCTTTTAGGCCTGAAAATGACTTAAAACCCCCCAACATTATATATTTTCTGAATGCCAAGACCCTATAGAATAAAATGGTGGTAGTTGCAAATTTTTATGTTGCGCAATTCCTTATTAAACCTCAACATTTAGTGAAAAATTTAATTAAAAGCCCCACAACAAAATACCCATTTTTAAAATGAAATATAAAGGATGAGGTTACAACGAGTAAAACGATACCCAACATGCCCAGGTTACAAATTGCGTGGGTCCGTGAAACGGCGAAAAACTGCAGTACCTCGAAAAATCCATAGAAGACGCTTTAAAAGCCCCCACAGGTAATCAATTTAGAGATACCCCAAAATACTCGCCCTAGAATTATTGCTCTAACTCCGGCGTGCGCGGCGATACCCAACATGTGTAGCGCGTTCGTCGTTTTTATACGTAGGCGCACCCGACGCGTGTTTACGTGGCGACGCGCGTGCTCAAGGAGGCGGGGGACTTTTAAATTTTTTTAAATATTATTAGATTTATTTTACAAACTTTTTTTTTTTAACTTTACTTTGACTGCTATCACATGGGGGGCTTACAAGCCCCCCCATGTGATAGCAGATGGTGGTGACAGGTACTCTTTAAGTGTCACCTTTACACTGGAAATAAGCTATTGAAGTGCAGATAGGCGGCGGTGCACTGCGGCGGTGTCCGGCAGGGGGGGCCCCCTTCTACGGGACACAGAAGCGATCTGGCGACAGGTAAGTCGCCAGAATCGCTTCTGTTGTAAAGCCGACAGTCGGCTTTACAAGTTTAAACAGACTCCCGGCACTGTAAGTCGTCAGTCACGAAGGGGTTAAAGAGAGCCTCTTTGCTGGGGTGAACAGCTGGCGTTTCCAGTACAGTGATCTACAGTGTCGGATCCCTCAAGGTACGAAGCCACCAAGTGATGTGGAGCAGCGTTTCTCAACCTTTTTTTAATCATAGCACCTTAACGGAGTTCTGAAGTCCCAGCATAAAACATCAGCATTGTAACAGGAAAACATACTAGAGTTGTTTTTGAGAATGCAATTCCTTTTATGTAGTCAGTGCTGCCTTCTGTCTGTTCATCACTTTTAACAACTTCTTGGATTCCCAGTGTGCTTTGCATCTCTTTCACTGCTGCTTGATGTGGTGCAAACTCAATTTCTCAAAACTACATAAACCATAATGCATTGCTTTCAGCAACCAATAATAATGTTAGATTGTTCAGATGTTGAGTTTTAGTTCAGATGGAAGTCTAAGTTAGACTAGTGACACGCAGAAGTGCATATTTAGAGGGCTAAGTGAAATTGTGTCAGCGCATTGAGGAAGTACATCCTATGGGGAGCTTCAATAAGTAAGTATACAAACTTCTAGATCGATATGATTATGGAGTGGGATAGAACTTCTGAAATACATATTTAGTTTTAGTTGTTGACCCTAAATACCCTTTAAATGTATGCAATTCTCGAGACACCCCCAGTCTAAAATGTAATAAAACATAAAATGTACAAAGTGACGTGTCCCCTTCATAAATCCATACTAGACCCGTATCCATGATAGGGGAACATTCTCTCGTATCAGCTTATCAGTTATCATTAGCAGACCAAAGGTTAGCAAATAAGAGAAGTCATTTGCTATTATTTATATGCACTTTAATGTTTTCACTATTGGAAATGTTTGCCCTCCCTTCCTGTTCAGGTGACAACTGAAGAATTTAGCATTTCTTTTTACTCTAAGTTCTGACCACCACTGTAATGCAGAATGGAGGAAGGAGGAATACTTTCCAGCAAGGACACAGTAGAGCAGGGGTAGCCAAACTCCGGCCCTCCAGCTGTGGTGAAACTACAAATCCCATGATGCATCTCTCTCCGGGAGTCATGTCTGTGGCTGTGAGAATCCTGCAATGCCTCATGGGATTTGTAGTTCCACCACAGCTGGAGGGCCGGAGTTTGGCTTCCCCTGCAGTAGAGGATTGAGACCTTTTATAACCTGATCTTCACTGCAAAGTAAGCAAACACATAAATGTGTACCTTCTCCTGACAGAATAGCATGGTACCCACTGCCATTTGAATATACTCTGCCCAATACTTCGAGCTGGTGTGGGATGCTGAAGCAGTGGCACACCGGCTCTATAGATGGAGAACAGAGCAATCACGAATCGCTGATCGCTCAGCTCATGGTTTCGCCCTGCAGAGAGAAGCGACTGAGTCACCACTCCCTACTGGGATTCCCTCCTGTCCATTACTTCAGTGCTCACTGGAGGGACAGACAGGGGAGGAGACAGACAGACCTGGCTCTAGAGAGACAGTCGGGTCAGATATATTCTGACTTTTGGTCACAGGAGTACATTGGCAAATGTACTCCTGTGGCCCAAAAGAAAACTAAAGCCAAAAAAAAAAGGTTTGGCTTTAATTGTCTTTTACTGACAGGAATTCACTTTGACCAGTTAAAAGCTGTATTAAATTTATGGTACAATGCAACAGAATATTATTGTATATGCACAATTATACCATACCTGGCCCTTATAAACCAGAATGTCAATTTGTATTTTCAAATATTCACTTTGTTCCAGAATAGCGCTGCATCTCTGTGGATAGGAAGAGAGGAGAAATGTCATCAGATGTGCTATACTGGAAGAATGAAATCAAAGTTTTTTCTTGTTTTTTTTTTTTTAAAAGCATAATACTAAGGGACACCAACTACAACAGAAACGATTAAAAGCTCAATAAAGAATCATTACCGCCTAATAGTAGCTTACAAAGAAATACAGTAGCTGCCTAATCATGCCAATCTGTCATAAATTTGTCCTTGGCACGCCAAGCTGCAGGTTTGTTTAAAAGGGAAAAAAAAAATAATAAACTAATGCTTTGGCAGACCAAAGAACTGAGGTTTAGAACTGGAAAAGAAAGAGGGGAAAAAAAAAAAAGAATTATTTTCGTCTCCAATTATACTGCCAAGCATGCATAAGTGAGCTTGGGATCATAAGGTTAATTATACATTTAATAAGGTGTCAGGGAGATAACTGCTCGTTTCTTTATAAAAATTAAAATGTACAAAGCAAGTTCTCTTTAAAGTATAATTACCTACACTTACGCATACAAAAGGACTGATTTCAATCTGTTTTATAAAAGGCTTTCAATGCAACAGTCAATTCTTGAGAGAGAGAGAGACAAAAGTTGAACTTGCAGAGGGGGGTGGGGGGGAGGAAAAAAAAAAGTTTACATGACAAGCCAGGGAAATCAAGTGTCTTTCCTGCACTACAGATTGATGCATAATCACCGACAATGTTGTATGCTGGAGTCAGGACAGCTGTCATGGCTTTTATAGACTGACTATTGGCAACAAATAAAAAATCAAACCACTGAACTGCTGCTACCCAAAAAAAATGCAGCTGTGCTAAAGTCAGCATGACACTTCATCTTAAAAGGATACCTGCACACTTCGTACAGATTTTAAAGCTGTAGGATACATGAAAAACAAAATGGGCCCCCGTGTTTAACTGAAGATCTCAAACTCTTGGGGTCCATTGAGTTTTTCATTGTGCTCCCACCCGATGCAGCATCCTAGTTGGTTTACATGCTACTGGTAATCTCCCAAAAGCTGTAGTGGTGCCCGGTAGCAGCGGCTTTAGTAGAACGGCACAGGGAGAGAAGCCCAGAGGCTGCAGGACATTGTATTGCGAGGAAAAAACTGGTCTCTACAAAATAAGTACAGAGGCTCATTTATCTTTTCCGTGCCGCCAGCAGAGTCTATCGGAACTACATGATCTATACCTGAAAGTGCTGTTATATTTTACAGGTGAAGTCCTTCCAACAGCCTGAATACTTCCACAGTGATACTTCCCTACAATAATCATTCATTTCTTCCAGCTACCCCAGTTATATTCCCAATTTCTCCATAGTACTATTAAAGACAAAAGCTAGGAAGTGGGAGGTTTAGTATTAACAGGGCCGGCATTGGGAGAACGGGAAGTACTCAGCCTGCCGATCCACTACTGGGGGCTCTGAGAAGGGTATAGGATAGGGATGCACCGATATATCGGCCGCCAAAACATATCCACCGAAAATTGCACTTTTGGCTAAATGCCGAAAGTGCCATTTTCCTGCCGATACAGTGGCGCATACCTGGTTTCTTTCCTCCCCGCTGGGGGGCGCTGCTCTGTGTCCCAGCGGGGAGGAGAGAAACTGTGACAGCCGGCCGAGCGCTGCGGGAGGAAAGCGCTGTGAGCGGCCGGCGTCTCTCATCTCACACCGCTCAGCCTCCTATCACAGTTCAGCAGAGCGGTGTGTGGGCGGAGACAGCACACACTGTCACAGGAGGCTGATCTCTCCTCCCTACACCGCTCGATCAGCCTCCAGTGACAGCGTGTCATAGAGGAGAGCCAATGCAAAAAATCAGCGACCGCTGAGTGTTTGTAGATAATTAAGGACATGGTATGGATACTATATCCTCAATTGTGAATGAATGGGAGTGATCTACATCACCTCCTGTTTATTCATAGTTGTAGTTTTAGTAAACACACAATGTTCTCAAGTTATGAATTAACAGGAACACTCAGTATAGAGGATTCCTGCTCATTGATAACTGGGGCTGCAGAAAAAGAGATTGAGGACTTTGTTTCCTCAATCTCTTTTTCTATTTTAAAAGGGAAATGCCAGGGGTCATAAACAACAATAAAAGTTTGACAAAAGTCCCAACACTCCCACACTGTTCTAAAACTAGGGCTGCAGCTAACGGTTATTTTCATAAACGACTAGTTGCCCAATTATCTTAATCGACTGGTTGTATTAAATTAAAATCAAAAAAATAAATCCTCTCTCTCTCGTTGTTGCAACCCTATCTAAAAACCACATTATTGGATCTGGAAATCTATTGATACATTTTATATTTAGGTCACCTTGTCCTCACATTTGATTAAAGGTTAACTGGCCTCCCATAATAATTTTTAAAAAAATACATGCTGGAGAAGTTATTTATAAGCACAGCTGAACCTTTCTGAAGAGTTTTCTCTTTACTCGTTTGTAGCAGTTTCTCTAAAGTCCCACAAACGATTGAAACTGCCTTGTATCGTCCCCGATACCGATACTAGAATCAGGGCCAATACAGGGCATTTTCACGAGTACTTGAACTCATGAAAATGCCCGGATTCTAGTACCAGTATCGGGTGATTCCTAAAATGTACTACAAGTAAAAACCCCACGCTACATTCCCTGAAGATAGCGCAGAACGTTTAGGACAATGGGAAGAGACTACTACTTCACATTCCAGCAAGGAATGAAAGGAAACTGATGTCAGATTCCAATAGGTAATCCCCAAGAGCACATAATGGTAATATATAAACAGACTGTCTCTCTGAAATGCCCCATGAACATGTTCATCACAACCAGCATATCAAGTCCACAAAGCAGTGGAGGAGAGCAGTTTCTACGAGGGACTGTATCAGATTGAAAACAGGTATTGCAGCAAGAGGATTATTTTTATTATTTGACAGGTTTATTCCTTTTTTTTTTTTCCCTGGAGTTTTGCTGTAAAACAAGCCTTCAATGACCTTTGTAGCTGCAGACACCGTGGAATAGTTCATCCTCAAAAGTCAAATCAGACTATGAAGTTGGGCTGCAGTCACTTTCTGAACAACTTACTGCTGCTTATTTGCAAAGATCCCTGCTGCCAGGGGAAGAAGAAGTGGAAATGAGCTGTGATTTCATTGCTTCTGCTGTGAACTTCGACTTGTCATTTTGATTGTGATATATTTATTTGTATTCATTGGAGAATATTTTTATACTATGCTTATTTTCAGTGAGACATATATATTATGATGTCTAGTAGATGTATTACTCATTTTCTTTAGGGCAGTGCACTTTCTTTTTGCTCCTCTTTTAGTTATTACGCTTACCTCTAATAACCGTTTGGCTTCTTCCACTTTTCCTGATTTGGCAAACACAATAAACAAATCTGTGACTGGGCGGTATATTGAGAATTGATTGGCAAACATCTCTGCAACAATGCTCACTGCAAAGAAATAAAAAAAAGCTTTCATTTGTAGGGTACAAGGTGATTATTGCACAAAACACATCAAGAATATCAGCATTGACTAGTAACGAAAATGTACAGGTAGAGCATATATGGCTTGGCCGGGGTCCTCATGATTTAAAGCTGGACTCTGAGCTGTGTAAAATACACCCATGTAGTGTGTCCCCCTCTGTCAGAACTATTGGGCAGAAAGGAATCAATTTCAAAGGCCTATACATATTTTCCAAATTTGTATATGGGCATCATGGTAGCCATTTTGTCTGCTTGCTAGAAGGTCAACGCAAGTTTATTCTTCTTGGACAAAGACTCACAGAAAAGTTTAAGAATCCTAGCATAAACATTCTTAGGTCATAAATTGTGGGGTCCCAGACGCACATAAGATAAGGATGCTGCCAGCCTATGTAGGATGAGATTGTTATCTTTCAACAAGATCTTTAGAAAATAGTAAAATTAAACTACCCAAACTTTTATATAGAACAATAGTGCCCCTTTAGGTGATTGTGAGGAAGAGGTACATAGTAAATTGATGTATCTGACGTCATTAGCCACCAAACCAAGCCCACATTCCATGGGGGGATAAAAGTTAAGCAGGAGCCAGCAGAGGGGATCCAGCAAAGAGGAGGCAGTAAGGAAATACATTCTAAGAGTATAGGTCGGAAGCTGAGGACGGCTGTCCAAGGGACTGAACTAAAGAGAACCTGACCATCCCTTGTTTCTGAACTGTGACAGCTGACTTCTTTCAGACAACTAATTTTGTATTGCTGGTGAAGTATACATTTCTATCTTTATATTAGGCAATTGATTAGCCACATTTATATCTGAATAGACCATTTAGTTCTTGTAGGATCTAGATTGATTTGAGATAATTTTTAACTGCAGTACAAATTATACCTTTCAATCTTGGGAGATAAATATATACATTTGTTATATACATTTGTATAATCTTCAGGAAACTGATTTCAGTTTCTAGTCAATGGTCTAGTCCGATATATATTTAATTAAATTGATGGAAGTTTGTCTTTACTTTGAATATAGTCTTGGCTTATAGCCAACCCTGTGCATGATGGGACAAATCTTGCCCATGCGCTGTTAAAAGTTTGAGCTTGCGAACATCTGTTTGCTGGGAGACGTCACGTGTCAATTCTGAACCTTTTGCTTCCTTATTCTGTGAGCTACTGATAAGATACCCATTGCATTTAAAAAGTTATTTTATTGGTTACATTTATATTGTGGAATAATATCCTGTGGTAATAATTTACACATTACCTGTGTTATCAAATTGATTTAAATTATTTGATCCTTATTCTTTGTCACCAATCATATATTTTATTATTCTGCACTGATATTAAATAAATAAATATACCGTATATATACTCAAGTATAAGCCAAGATTTTCAGCCCATTTTTTTTGCTGAAAAGTGCCCCCCTCAAGTAAACGATTGTATTCATCTTGTCTTCAAGTTAGCGCAAATAAAAGAACTTGTGTTAATTTTGATTTGTGGAAATAAGTTGGGAATCTCATTACAGATCCTTGCTTGTTTTCATAAATAGAAAACTGTTTATCAGAGCAGTATAAACATTCGGACACCTACCCTCCATAAATATGTTCTGCTTAACAATGCAGCTCGCCATGTATCAGGATGATTATTGCTGTGCTTACCCCAATTCTAACTGGCAAAAGTCAGCAGCCAAATAAAAGCAAGGGGCAGGGACATGTGGCTATGTTTAAAGGCAACAGGCCTTGTGGGTGACATTTTTCTTTTCCAGTGAAATGTTCTTTTACACATAGCCCAAAAACAGCCAAAGCCAAGTTTCCCCAAGAGAACCTAAGATAGTGGTTGTTCAAAGAAAATGCCCTAAATGTCCTACAATGAAGACACTGCAATATACATAATGGGTAAGAGCATTTCCCTAACTCTAAAAATGGCCAAAAATATTAATGATCATTATGATAACATGTTTGGTCATGCAAGAATCCCTGTTTCTCACCGCTTCCTAGGCTGGGCAGCTAGCCAACCCAGTTGCGGGTGCAGTGCCTGCCCTGGGTCCCATCACCTCTCACATGCAAGTCATATCGAAAGAATAACATGTTGCACTCCACCAATCAGTTATGCTTCAGTGACTTTATAGAAACAAGTGGACAGAAACACTACAGGTGGTCTTCCTCTGATCAGTTTTGCTCTCTAGTGGAGATGAACTGAAGATTATGATTAGGCCCCGATAGAGTGCAAAGCGCAATCGAAGACGACAGCCTGTGGAGTGTTTCTTGTTTCAAGTTACTAAAGCAGTACGGATCTGCTGAGTGTGACCTGATATTGTATTGCTCTGACTTGCATGTGGGTAGTGACTCACAGCAGGCATCGCAACTGCGGCTGAGTTTTCTGGCTTGTTTGGATGAATGTCACCAGCACACCAAAAATCCTAACAGGATCCCCTCATGTTCATTTATTAAGAACCATGTCAAATAAAGACTATATTTGACATGGTTCTTAACACACAAACACTTGGTGATCCTGAAAGGATTTTTGGTGTGCTGGTGACATTCTTCCAAACATCCCATGTGGTCAGCGGTGCTATCCGCAGTCACTACAAGCACCCTCCTCTGCTGCTGAAATATCCGGTAAGGAGTGCAACAAGACATTCATTCCGAGTTGGCTGGCTACCCCTTTGGGATGACCGGAATAACATGACCAAGTTCCCAATCCACACACACGCTGCAAAGTTTTCTAAAAAGAACCTGCCACAGATAGCACTGATCCCCACTTTGTGCACCGAGAAAAAAATATTTGAGATTTCAAAGAGAAGTGACATTTTAGGTTCCAAGTAATTTAATAAACTACATAAACTATAGGAACCAAAACGTGTTCGGGTAAAGTATGTGTGTTTTGATGGGTAACCAATTTAATCACCCATTTAACTCATATACTTAATTTTTTTTGCTGGCCTTAAAGGGTCAGACTAACCACAATAGATATTTATTATTTTAAGTAAATCCTGCAGTTACTTATATTCCCCGGGGAGTTTGGTAGTAAGTCCAGGTAAGTGCACCCAGGCCTGAACATCAACAACAGCCACTGTGACGGGAGGTCTAACTGTACCCATGCTGGATTTAAAAAAATATTTTACATTAATGGATGCAGCAGGAGAGAGAACAGTTTAAAATGAGTGAAACAACCAGACCACGGGAACAGCTAAGGGAAGAGCTTACTGCAGAAGTGACTTTACCACGGGACTGCACCAATAGTTTAAAAGTCTCTTTGGGGTGGAATGGCCCATTAATTTTATACTGCACAGCCAGTCCCCAGATTCAAACATGCCTTGTAGAAATGTGCAAACTTGTAGATAACAAGCAGCTTAAGATATCTGCCCTGGTATACCAGCAAACAAAACTTCTAACAATGAAGGCTAGACACTAATAAAAACTCACATTTTTCCAGCGCTTCAGTCATGTTGTTTTTCACCAGTGTCAATGACAGGTAATATATAGAGGTATTTGGCTCCTTTGAACATAGCGATTCAATCATTGAGATGGCTTCTTCAAAGTTTCCACTGGAAAAAGACGGTACATATAAAATGAGCAACTCTTAATACTATACTGAGGTACAGTGACAAAAGCATGGCACATAAATGTATAATCTACTACACACAGAATAATGGCTGGCATTGTTGTCTTGCAGTTTTAAGGGCACAACGTGTTTTCTAGCAGGCTGCTATGTATACCTTTTGCTTTGGGAGTATGTAGGACACCTAAAGTCCACAACTGGCTAAACGTGAACTTTATTGTCCTGCTGACTTTAGCCATCACTGCGCTTCTCTCTGTCTGAGGTACAATGACAGATGGCTCAACTGCAGATTTTACAAATGATTTTTTTTTTTAATCAGATATTTACTAAAGTTTAACATTTTTATAACAAAGAAACACAACTAAAGAGACAAACAGTAACAAAAGTAAGGCCTCATTCACACACAACACAAGCTAAATTGTATATTGCATATATACGTGTATATGCGCGTATATACGAGCGTATATGCAATCCCAGAATGCATCACTCGTAATGGAATTTATAATGTGCTGTACGCGCGTAAACACGCAGAAATTTGCATATATACGCTATGCAAATATACGGCTCCATACGCGGCTGTGTGTATGGAGCCATTTATTTGCATATATTGCATATGGTACAATACGCGTATACGCGCGGCAGTGTGAATGAGGCCTTTAGTAGAAAGGCACAAACAATCTTCCCACTGTTCACACGCAAAGGTATGGAGTAAAAAAAGAAGTATCAATTGTAGACAATAGACAGCAAAGTATAATTCCACAAGGTCAGATGGAAAGATGTTCCCGAACCTCCACCGTAGCTAATACAGAAGGATTCCTATAGTCAAGCAATCTACTCCAGATCAGGTAGGATTTATTCATAGTGCCCGTGCTGAGAAGTCAGTTTCTCAAAAGAGACTAAGTGGTCTAGCTCCGCGGTCCAATCTTCCACTGAGGGCGATGTTCTAGATATACATTTTAAGACCAGAACACAATGATCTGCAAATAAGGCCCTAGTCACAGCTACGTGGTGTAGATGAGTCAAGCTCAGAACAATCAATCTTCCCCAAGACACAATTTAGTGGGGTATTAAGGATGGACATTCCGAAAACTAGGTTAGTTACAGCAAGGACTTCATTCCAATATTTCACCAGTTTTGGATATACGCCAAAAGTGAAGAAGAGAACCAGGGGCCAGACCACACTTTATACACTTGGCATCTTCCCTGAGACTATACGCTGAGTTTTGGGTCACAGGAAGCCATAGTAAATGTCCTCCTGTGACCCTAAAGAGAACTATGGCCAAAAAAGGATGGGCTATAGTTCTCTTTTTATTTATTTTAAACGCCGATGCAATCACTTACAATGGATGCTGCTACTTGATGCTTACATTTTTAGTTTACTGCAGAATCAGCTGCTCCCCTGAGCACTGACTCTGATATCTTGTTTTAAGGTGGTTTTAGGGCACCCTATGGAGCCCTCCACAGAAACAGACACAGCAAGACAAGTGACTCCACTTCTCTCTTCCCATCTCTAGCAGATGGACTAGGACTTGGCTGCAAGAGACTGCTCTGTCCCTTGTGATCTTGTACTGGACTGGAATTTCAGGGGAGCCAAGTTGGAGCCACCTCTTTAGAAACATGATGACTGTGTTTGGGCAAACATTTTAAGAAATACTTTGCTGGGCAATGAACATTTATTTAATCTGGATGCATTATTGAGAAACATTTTGAGAGTTTAATCCTATTGTAATGTAGAGCTGCCCTTGGTATGGGGGAACAAACTAAACTCTAAAAGGAGGCTGTGTGTTTTCAGAGGTTAATATTTTTTTAGCTTCAACTCTTAGATATAACTTGGTACTTGAACAAGGCAGGACATTAATGCCTCTTTTCTAAGCAAGAGTGACTTTCATCTAAGCCAAGAGACCAGAGTCACCTAAAAGGCACTAGAATGAACATTAGGGCTTGATATTCAATAATTGATGTGAGAAACTATAACTGTATTTCAGGAAATATAAAATTAAATATTTACCTGGGTCTCGTTTTTTCCCTCTAGAACTGTCCTGCTCAATTCAAAAACTGATATTAAATATAATTTGCCGGCCACGTTCTAGTGCTTTAGGTTTTATCCATGCAGGGCCGATGCTAATAATTTAATGTGTTTATGATGTGTACACATACACACACACAGGAAATGTGCTCTCTGCATAACCCGGCTTGACAACTTCATTTCGCCAAGTCTCCGCTTCGGCGCTCCATATGTAGTTCTGATGAAGGCGTGCATGAAAGGCTTGGATAAGAGCCACGCATATGCACCTAGCAAATGCAGCTTTTGATTTAACTCACCCTGGCCTTTAATCTGCTCTACCATGACAGGAATTCATAATTTAAACTATTTTTTTTAATATGGAAAAGACGTACAACTAACCATTAAAAAGCAGCAGAGTGGATCGGTTTGACCTGTTTTATTAAAACCTGCTTTTACTGATGGAGCAGATCCACTTAAAATGGTTTCTGGATTTCAGGTGGATCAAAGCAGGATGCAATGTCTTGGCAGTTCTCTCCAGCTATCTGGGGGGGATAGCTCCCCACCACGGACATACTTACAGTCGAGTAAAAAAGAAAGTACACCCTCTTTGGATTTGTATTAAGACATAAAAATCACCTGGCCCTTAGCAGATCTTAAAATTAGGTAAATAGAACCCTTGCCGCATCCATAGGAGAATTAAGAGGCTGAGTAGCAGCCAGGTGCTGCTAATCAATTGCTCTTGATTAAATCATTAAGGTGCCCATACACCTGACAATTATCGTAATCTATACACCTATACACGATAATCGGAAGGTGTATGGGCAGCGTGCGACCATACACCTTACTATTGCATGATCGTACGATTTTCGTATAACGAGCACGCTAGCAAGACGTAAGCCGCACGGCCCGAGGTACGCACACTGCCCGCTCACCATTGCAATTATCTGCAGCGGGGAGGACTTGTGATGATGGCAAGTACGATCTGCCTGTCCAAGATGGGCAGGTCGTATGAACTTTTAATCACCTTACAACCATCGCACAACGAAAGTTGTGCGATGGTTGTAAGGTGTATGGCCACCTTTAGGCTTGCAGTGGGGCTACCTCGTTTTGTCTAGGGGACTGAAATAAAGCAGATATACTCACCTGATCCTTGGTCCCTCTGGGCTGGTAGAACGTTCCCAAAAGCCTCTTCTCCCCTGGGCTGTGGGGGTCTAAAGACTACTGACATCATCACGTCTTATGCAGGTCCACTGACTTGCATTCGACATGAAGACGTCATTTCGGCATGAAGAAGGTACATTTCACAGCCGGTGGTGGAGAGAGGCAAGCGCTGACCACCAGTGGACTGAGGATCAGGTAATACAGCTTTATTTGAAACCCCCCCAGACAAAATGACCTGTTAGAGTCCTTCTTTAAATACAACAGAATATCACTCAAAACACAAGAATATTTTCCCTTATTCAAAGATCTGCAAATATCCTTTTTACAAGAGTCTTACATTTTACATACAGAAAAAAGACTTTACATATATCCATGCTGCAAATCCCATCAAAAATAACACCTCAAAAAGTGTAGACATGTACCAAATGTACCCCTAAATCACCCCCCGCCCCCCTCCCCCAGGATACATCCATGCCTTGTTTTTTTTTGTTTTACCTAAACCCAAAAACGTGTTACACTGAAACTAACCATGGTAAGATGTGGTAGCCACATTCGTTTTTTAGTCTATTTTCACCCGGTGATCTGGTCATTAAAACCTTTCCTGTTCTAAGGTGACAACACTCACTCATTGTACTGTATCTATGTTTCTATGTTGCCACCCTAGGATGACCTCCTGATATGGACTACAAACACCATCCTCATCTCTTCTACATAGGTGGAAGGGGTTGTGTAGTTCACAGAAGAAAGCTGATAACATAGGTTAGTTGTACAGGAAGCTACAAGGACACTGGAATTCTATCAAGATCAACAGGTCTTTTCCTGCACTTGCAGAAAATGTACTTCGCTTGATATAAGAAAACCAATGCAGCCACCACATTTGAAGTGGAACTGAAATAGGAATAAATGGGAAATCTTTCTGTGATGACGCTAATTGTGCTGACTAGGGCTGCAACAACTAATCGACATAATCGATTATAATCGATTATTGAAAAAGTTGTCAACTTTTTCAATAATCGATTAATCGGCTTCCAATCAGTTGGCCCTGTTCACGGCTCCACACACGCTGCGCGCCGCACCTCCTCCCCAACTCACGCCCACCGCTGCCAGACCCGCCCCGCCCGCATCCACGCTCTACACGCCACACCTCCTTCCCGCCTCACACTCATCGCCCACATCCACGATCGGCACAAGGACGTGGGGAGATGTAGTAAGGAGGAGCAGGTGTGGGGTGATGACAGCGGCAGATAGAGAGGCCCGATCTCGAAACAAGTGGCTGGAAGACTGCTCAGGTAAGCCTGCACTTTCCCACACATGGTGCTCTATAATGTATTGCTGGGATTTGTATTCCTCTATAGCTGATGGTACATTGTGCTGTATGTTATACATAGGAATACAAATCCCAGCAATACATTATACACTGTATGTATAATGTACTATTGTTGGGATTTGTTGTACTCCTCTATAGCTGGTGGTATTCTGCACTGCATAGAGGACTACAAATCCCAGCAATAATACATTATGCAGCGCCATGCGGAATTCCACCAGCTATAGAGGAGCACTACAAATCCCAGCAATAATACATTATACAGTGGTGCAATGCCCAATACCACTAGCTATAGAGGAATACAAAACCCAGCAATAGTACATTATATAGCGCAATGCAGAATACCACCAGCTATAAGGATTTGTTGTGCTCCTCTATAGCTGGCGGTATTCTGCATTGCGCTGTATATTGTACTATTGCTGGGTTTTGTAGTCCTCTATAGCCGGTGCCATTCTGCATTCATTGCTGCATAATTTTTCACTTTTCATTTCACTATATTGCACACCACACTTTTTTTTTTTTTTTTTTACTTCCACCGCTCCAAGCTTGCTCCTGTGATGGACTACATCACTGGAGCCATTTTTTAAAATGTATTTTATTGTTTATCCGATTAACCGATTAATCGAACTTAATAATCGGCTAACTAATCGATTTTTAAAATAATCGTTAGCTGCAGCTCTAGTGCTGACCCTGCTGACCAACCAGGGATTTCCCCTGTTGTGGCTACTGGACAGGAAGTAAAGGGAAATCTCCTCAATGGGAGACAGAGAGCAAGAAAAGCTTTACTTTATCCAAAACTAAAAATAAAAAAGTTGGCTTCTTTAAGGATTGATATATGAAATGTTTGGTTTGGGCTTAGTTTAGTCACCCTTTAACCCCTTAAGGACCCTTTCACTGCCAAGAACTTTTAGTTTTTTTACACGTTATAATCCTCATTTTAGACCTGACAATTACTTCAAACCCCTAAACATTATATATTTTCTGAAAGCCAAGACCATGTAGAATTTAATGGTGGCAGTTGCAACTTTTCAAGTTGCACGATATTAGTGCAACTCTCTATCAAACCCAAAAACTTTTTACAAACTGCACTTGTTAAATTTAACCCCAAAACAGAATAATACACACATGCCCAGGTTAAAAATTGTGTGCATCTGTGAAACGGCGACAAAATTCAGTGCCCCAAAAGGTCTATAGACAACCTATAAGGGCTTTAATAGCCCCTATAGGTCATCAGTTTCGAGATGTGTGTAAATATTTGCCCTAGAATTATTGCTCTCACTCTGGCGTTTGCGGCGATACCAAACATGTGATGTCGTTTTGTTACGTAGACGCACGCAACGCATGTTTATGTAAATATGTGTGCCATTTTTAAAAAAATGTACACTTATTTTATATTATTTTTTTTCTTTAGTTTAATTGCTATCTCATAGGGGGGCTTACAAGCCCCCTATGTGATATCATATTGGTGGTAACAGGTCTTCTTTAAGGTGGCACTGGGGTTCCAGAAGACCCCCAGTATCACCTTTACACTTTAAATAAGCTATTGAAGTGCAGATCGCACTTCAATAGCTTATTGCTGGGCTTCAAGAGCCGAGCAATGACAGCTATGGGACCGAAAGTGATGTAACCTGCATCGCTCCCGGTTGCATAGAGCAGGGAGGAGATCGAAATGGAAGTTCGCTACTCTCCACCCCATTGTCCTGCCGACACCAGAGATACTGGTCCTGGGCCCGCAGGAGTGGCAGTGGAGCCCGGGAAACACAGCGCGGGCGGTACTTTAACGACCCGTAGAAGCGATCTGACAGCAGCTGAGCCACCAGAATCGCTTCTATTATAAAGCAAACCGCCGGCTTTAAAATTGTAAACAGAGTCCCAGTGGCTGTTTAAATGCCCGCTGCCAGTGACTTACTATGTACATTACTGGTTGCAAAGGGGTTAAAGCGTATCTAGGGTCATTTTCCTTTTCAGTATAGGATATTGTATAGGATGGTAAAACCCCAATCAGTGTAATTTTCTGCCGTCTCTGTGCCATTGGGGAGATTTTCCTTCACATAATGTCTTGTAGATGCAGCAGGAAGTGAGAAGAAATCTCACCAAATTGAGGGGAATTCTCCTCTTAGACAGCTGGCACCAGAAGAACTGCCACCATTGGAAGATTCACCTTTGCCTCTTGTTCTGGTGACAACTATATAATTTTGGCTTTCCCTTAAAGGAGAACTATGGGGTCAGTGTTTTTCCCCATAGTTCTCCTTAGGGTAACGGGAGGACACAAACTAGCGTCCTCCCGTTACCCTAAGCTCAGTATACCGCAAGCTACAGCTTGCGGTATAATGAGACGCCTCAGCCGGAGCGGATCCCGACGTAGATGACGGGATCCGCCCAGCTGCGTGAGTGACAGCTGGCTCTGCCTATCTAGAGGCAGAGCCAGCTGTACCCACCCCTCCCCCGTCCGTTCCTCCAGTCAGCGCTGGCAGATCGGAGCGGGGAGAGGGGAATCCAGCCCCTCCCCCTGTCACGGCAGAGAGCCGTGACAGGATCGAGAGGCGAGCGAACCCGGTATGTGTTTGCTAACCTCCCGATCTACTGAGCCGACCTGTGACAGTCTCATTGTCACAGATCGGCTAGAACTATGAGGTGAGTGAAAAACACTCACCTCATAGTTCTCCTTTAATTTTCTGTCCTGGTGATAAGGTGAGTCTCCCAAGGGAAGACGCAGGCAGCAATAAAAACAGAGGGTCTAACCCTTCACTACTCTATCTAGGTCTAATACAATGGTGCTCAATTCCATTATGACATTGAAATGTGGATTTAAACTGCATTTATCACTGCACACACTCAAAGAAGGAGTGTCCCTTTAAGGAATGGCATCTTGACTTACTTTTTGAAGTGAAACAACAGTTTAGCGTTGTAGAATGCCCTTTCCATTCTGGGAAATGTTTCTTTGAGGTCGCTGGTTATCTCTTCCATTTTTTCCAGGCTGTCCATATCTCCGTTCAGGGCCAAAGCTTCGCGGAGTTTATCTAACACGGTTTGGTTGGGCACACTGCCATGCTTGAGCATCCTCTCTAGGGTGCGTAGCGCATCTATTCAAGAAGAAAATGGAAGGAAGCACAGGACAAAACTGCTAAAGTAATCACTGATCCAAGACTTCACAAAACAGAAGAGACAGGCTGAGACGTGATTAGGATCTGCTCTGTTGTTTCTCATATTAACGGCATGCAGAAAACTGTTGTGAGTGCTCCAGATTAGAGATTAATGATGGAACTGGCAGACTGTCAGCAAGATGCTGAGAAAGCAATATGGAATGGATAGCTTCCCTCTAAAGGGGCTGTGACAGGCAGAAAACACAATACTGTGCTGTGATTTTTTTTCTCTTTCTCCATGGAGATGTGTGAACAGCCAAGCAAACTGTGGATTGGGTCCATGATGGTAAAGATCACTTTTCACTGTCAATGCTACACAGTACAAAAAAACAAAAACAAAAAACTTTTCTGCTGATGAAAGCTCTGAGGCAAGGTCAGAATGAACATGCTGCATGTAATCTTATACCATTCTTAGGCACAACCAATAGAATCCATATTGTATTTTTAATTTGCATACTCCACCTGTAAAACGTTTTATAATCATTGTACCAACTCATTGTCTTAACACATGTGCTTTACTAATTTCAAGACAAAAACAACAATTTGGCTTTAAAGTTGGTGGTTCCCAGCTGTACATACTCACCTTTCCATCGATCCCCCATTACTCTGTTCAGCTGTCAGAAACGAGGAAGGGGAGCCCTAACGTGAGACCTTACCTAGCACTGAGAATTCCCTGCCTGCACATGTGACAGCAATGGACCATTTAGCAAGATGCACCAGCATTATATGAGAGGAAGAAGAGTTCATCCCCTTCCTTTCGATACTCAGAGGAAGCATCCAGGGGCTGAACAGAGATGCTGGGCGGGGATTTATTATTGCAGCGTTTACCTTAAAAGGAGAACTATGGGGTTAAGGCTTTTCCCCATAGTTCTCCTTAGGGTAACGGGAGGACACAAACTAGCGTCCTCCCGTCACCCTAGGATCAGTATACTGCGAGCTGTAGCTCGCAGTATACTAAGACGCCGCAGCTGAAGCGGATCCCGACAATTATGTCTGGATCCGCCCAGCTGCGTGACTGACAGCTGGCTCTGCCTATCTAGAGGCAGAGCTGGCTGTACCCGCCCCCTCCCCCGTCTGTTCCGCCAGTCAGCGCTGGCGGATCCGAGCTGGGAGGGGGGAATCCAGCCCCTCCCCTGTCACGGCATAGAGGCGTGACAGGATCGAGAGGTGAGCGAACGCCGGTATGTGTTCAATCACCTCCCGATCAACTTCTGCCTTCGGGACAATGAACTCCTGCACATGAGGGATTAATGTCATGTCAGCACAGCCAATCAAGATGGCCAAGGATCCCTAAACCGAAAAAAGACCAGATAAAAGATGTCAACACTAACGAGGTAGATCACGAATGTTGTATTACTGGAGGGGAAGGGAGTATAGTTCCACTTAAAGGAACCGGCTAAGCATAGAGGCAGCTTAGGTCTTAAGAAGGAAAATATATTCTTCCTCAGAATTCTCACTTCTGTTTTAAGCGTAGCCAATTACTTCTTACCAGTAATAAGCCCTAACCATTGCTCAATTCTCTCGTTTCTCTACAGCCTCTCCTTTTTGTCTCCATGAATATGCTTTACCGTATACATTCCCCCACAAAGATTTATAGGATGAGAGCCTAGTAGGTGTGGATAGCCATGTTAACATTGTAAAAAAAAAAAAAAAAAAATAAA